TAAAATGGATTGAAATTTTTTTCTATCCGAATGCGTATTTTTTCTTTAACTAACAACGTTTTTTTATATATAATATGTACATAAAAACAAATTTATTTTATCGAAACTTATTTTTCTATATAATTAGTGCGGGGTCATATATATATATATATATATATATATATTTATATATATATACACAATATAAATTTTATATATTAATATATACATAAATATAAAATTTTGTAATGGATATTTGGCCTTGTTTTATACTTCAGTTAATAATTTTTTGTCTTTCTTGCAATAATTAAAATACAACACGGATGAACTGCATAGAGATATGCTCCATGCAATTCCTATAAATGAATAAATGTGCATTCAAGATTGAAAAGCTTTCATTCTAACATTCGTGAATCAATATTTCTGAAAATCTGAATCCATTTAATTCATTTCAATTCATTCCCGTTTGCTGGGTAGTCGGTTTTCAATTGGCAGTCAAGTTTGTGCAAAATCGGTAGTCTGATACGAGTTCTTTACTAAATATCTGTTATATCTTCACAAAATCTATGTATATGTATAAAATATGTATATATATATATATATATATATATATATATATTTATATATATATACACAATATAAATTTTATATATTAATATATACATAAATATAAAATTTTGTAATGGATATTTGGCCTTGTTTTATACTTCAGTTAATAATTTTTTGTCTTTCTTGCAATAATTAAAATACAACACGGATGAACTTGCAGCAATATCGCTGCAATAACGCTGCAATATTGCTGCAACATGTAATATTGCTGTAATATAGTAGCATTGTTGTTGCAACTTTTGTATTGTAAGGAACTATAAACAATCAAATTGTTTGAAATGAATAAAATTGTATTGAATCATTAACAATTTGTTTAACGGAGTCAACAGTCGATCTATTTCCTCAAATCAATAAGCGTTTATGAAGCAGAAGCTTTCCACATTATCGTATTATGGTTATGGCTTGGGATTGCAGAAAAGAAAGAATATATCTTCAAGATTTCGAAATTCAAATGTTTATTCAGATTTTTAAAAGTAATCTATCTATTTAAATTTATTCGATGATATTTAATGGCATTTTCTTTGACAACTCCGCATTCGCGTCCATGCTTTCCAAAAATATATTTGAATTAGATGTTTGGTCGAAAAAATGTAACCAATTTCTACATTTTTATT